GTTTCTCCTTCGAGGTCTGCCTGATTTGATTGCCCAGTCCTTCGCCATGAGCCAGTAGAGACCTCTCATGTTCAGGGGGGAGTTGATGGGCGCCGGGTTTTTGATGCTGTCTAGAGCCATCTGGGTCCAAGGAAGGGACTGTCTGATCACGATCTTGATAACCCATTTCATCTGCAGTGCTATTGATTCCTGTTTGGGATCAATTAACCCAAGACCACCCTCCTGCGGTTTCCTGATGATGTGGTTCCAGGCTACCCTGTTGATGCACGTGGTCCTATTGGGGTCTCGAGTCCATAGATAGCATCTAGCTCTGTTCTTTAGCGTTTTGAGGTCGTCATCAGGGGGGCACCATATGGATGCCATGTACCACAGTGTGGAGAAGATTGTCGTGTTAATTAGTAATGCTCTCCCGATTAGCGAGGCCTAAGCGTTTTTGCAAGGGACCATGCGGGAGATTGCCCTAGAGACAAGGCTCTGGCCCATGCCTGGCCACACCCCGTTCTTGTTTACCATGATACCGAGGAATCTTAGTGCCTGATCTCCTGTCGACCATGACATGGGTGTGGTTGTGTCAGTCGGTTGGGGTGGGGTCCCCTCTGCTAGCCACCATCCTTCGGTCTTGCCCCAGTTGACCTTCATTTCTGATGCTAATCTGAAGGCTTCCATTGCTCTTACAAGGGCTTGGAATGAGCAGTTGTTGGCGCGGATGAGGACAGTGAGGTCGTCGACGAACATTAGCGCAGTGGGTAAGGTGAAGTCGTGTAGAAGGTTGAAGTTGCGTTCGGTGAGGCGGTCGATGGATGGGTCTTTCCGGAGAAAGGAGGCTATGGCTTCCATGATGAAGAGGAAAATGGGGGGAGCCAATGGGTCGCCTTGTCTAACTGATCTTGAGATCGGGTAGGTCTTTGACAGAATCCTATTGACCTGCACTCTGCCTATTGCGTCTGAATAGAGGACTCTAACCCATTCTCGGAAATCGGGGCCTACCCCCATTTTCTCCATGCAGGCGTGCAGGAAGTCCCAGTTGACCTGACCGTACGCTTTTTCAAAGTCAAAGAACAGGATTGCTGCTTTCATTCGTTTTTCTGTGATCTTCTTTGCTGCCTCGTTCAGTGTCATCACATTGTCTAGTATGTATCGGCCAGGTATGAAGCCTGCTTGGTCAATGTGAAAGCATTTGTTTGTCTCCCTTCTTGTGCAGCAGTGATACCACACTGGTGCTTAGTTTTTGGCCTAGGCCTCCCTTTAGCCTGCTGTCGTTGAAGAAGTCGAGCAGGTCCTCACCTAGAGTGGGCCAAAAGTGGCTCCAAAATTCCTTCGAGAGGCCGTCTATGCCCGGAGCTTTGTCATTTCCCATTTGGGTTAGGGCTACGTGTAGCTCAGCCAGGGTTAGGGGTCTGTCCAAGCCTTCTGCTTGCACTGTTGAGATCGTTTTACCTAGGTACGATAGCATGTGTTGGCGGGCTGTTAGGTTCGCAATGGTCGGGGGCGAAGGCGTCTTCGACTTGTATAGGTCTGCGTAATATGTCCTGCCTATCCTGACCAGCTCTGTCCTTGCTGTTTTTATGTTCCCTTGATCTGTTGGGTCTTTGAGGCCCTCTATCGTGTTGTTCCTGGCATTGGCTTTGATTTTGGAGAAGAAGAATTTAGTCATGGTTTCGTTGAGTGAGTAGTCTGTCATCCTCGCGCGTATTTGCAGTCCTCTCAGATCCCATTTTCTCCATTCATTTAGTTCCTCTTTAGTGTCAGATAGTAGATCATGATAGAGCTCGCTGGAGGGGTCCTCTGCGAGGTTGGCTTCTGCCACTGAGATGGCGAATTGGAGTTCTTCCCTTCTCCTCTTGCGATCCCCCGCTATGCCCCGTGATTYTGATGRTACTGTTCGGGTTAGGTCTTCGTAACTGTYGATGAACCATTGGTGCCGGTTTGTCTATCTGAATTTTCGCTGTTTTTGGATGGACCAACTTTCTTTGACAGCTGTGGACAGCCTTTCGGTCGTTAGGAGGGAGTTGTTCAGCCTAAAAAAAAACCGTCCTGCTTCGACTGGTGAGTTGAAGTTGAGCAACAGTTGAATGGGTTTGTGGTCCAGTCCTTTGAAGGCGGCTGAGGGAAGGATCTCAACTTCTCTAATTGTGCCTTGTAGGCTCTCAGAGATTAGGAAGTAGTCAATCCTAGACAATGAAGTCCGATTGGCTTGGTTCTTTCAGATCCGGGAGAAAGCTTTTTTGTCTGGATGCAGCATCCTGAACGGGTCGACGAGTTCAAATTCTGTCATCAGATTCCGTATCCGGGATCCCGCTCTTGTGGGGCCCATTAACACTGTCCTAGATATCCGGTCCAAGTTGGGATCCAGAGTCGTGTTCCAGTCTCCTGCGATGATAACCGGTTGCGGATTTGGGATAAGTGGTTTGATGGACTCAAAGAAACTCAGTCGTTCGGGTTCCGCGTTGGGTGCATAAAGGTTGAGGATTCTCAGGTCTTCGTCTTGCCATTTTATATCTACCCATGACCATCTGCCCTCCTCACTGTCTCCCTCGCTGTTCAAGATCTGACCTTCGGTCAGAATCTTGGACTTCCGTGGTATAAGGATTGCAGTTCCTTTCTTGCTCAGTCCCTCTTTGTTGGACCACAAGGTGAAGGCGCATCCATCTAGTATCTTTTCCACGGCTTTCTGTATACTGGTGTGATTGTTGAGATTAGATAGATGGGTCTCCTGGAGTAATATCACGTCGGGTTTCGGCTTATCCTTGCTTATCAGACTGAGGCGAATGTCCCTGAGTTTGTCTTCCTCGTTCAAGATGTTCCCTAGACCGTTGACGTTTCAACAGAGTAATTGAAGGCCCTTGGTATACCAGTTAGTCTTTGGTGGGTTGCCTTGCCCTACTCTGGGGCTCGTTAGCCTCAGCATTGTCTGATTCATCCGCTTTGCCCACCCCTTTTTTTTTTTTTTTTTTCCTTTTTTTTTTTTTTTTTTTTTTTTTTTTTTTTTTTCCTTGGTTAACTCTTTGACTTAAGTGTTGCTCGTGCGTTTTAGTTGTGTGGGTTGGATTTTATTAATGGCTGCGGTGTATGGACTTAGTCTTTAATCATCGTGGTGATTGATTCAGTCCACTGCTGCCTCGGTCTTGCTGCTCTCGGTGTCTGAGTCCTTGCTGTCCTCCTTTGCTGCTGTGGAGCCCAGGCTGTATTCTCTGTCGACTGCTAAACGCTTTCCCCGGCTCCCCCTGGGGATATCTTGTCACCCAAGACCATTCCCTCTTCCTCTTCGTCTTCGCTCTCCATCTCTTCTTCTTCCCTTCCCGTGTCCACCTCTATGGGGGTAGCCTCATCTTGCAGTGAGGTCTTCGAAGTCAGGAGATGGGTTCTGACGATATCAGCCAGCGAATCAGCGATGATATCGGTCGTGCTGAATCGCCCGTTCAACACCTTGTATGGGAGCACTGTGATCGTGTTCCATGCCCTCCATGTCAGGCCTTTGCGGAGTTTTGCTTTTTCCTCGAGTTTGACCAGGAAGGGGTCAAAAGGGGTGAGGATCGGGTCTTCCACGGTCTCCCCATCGGCTGTCATTTCTCTTGGAGGGATCCCGTACACCCCCAGCGGGGATTCTGCTGAGATATTGTCCCTGATGCTCGTTGCCAGGGCTCTGTCATCGTCGAGGGTAGGGAATGTGAACGATGCGTCGGTGGCCACCTACCACTCGTTAAGTTTGCTTTTGAACCGAACTGGGATCAGTGGCCTCACTGGCCTGATGGTCTCCCTGTCTGTGTTTGCCGATTTTGTGACTTTGGGGGCCTTGTTCTCCGCTATCATTCGAACTGTGATGAACTTTTCTCCTTGTTCTCTCCTGTAGTCTTGGTTCTGGTCAAACAGTCTTTTCGTATGCGCTGCCACTGTTGCGATTTCCTGTGTGAGGCGGCGCTGTTCGTTTTTGTTGCCTGCTTCGTCTCTGGGGGGACCCTTTGGCCTCTTGTCTCTTCCTTTGGATGGTTTCCAATTCTTGGAAACCATGTCACGGATAGAGTTTGTTAATGTTTGAGGATCGAAGCCTATGTCAGTGTTCGTTCCTGCAGACTCTCTCTCTCTCTTTTTTCCAAAGTATCTGAATGCGCTGAACTCCGAGAGTTCGGAGTTCTGTCGCAGTAGGTCGAAGAAGTTCTTGGAGGCGGGGATCCCAGCCACAGTTTTGCTGGAGGCCGGCTTCCCTGTTTTCTCCAAGTGTTTCATGCAGGCAAGCCTCACGTCGAACTCCTTTTCCCTTTCGTACTTCGCTCTCTGCAAGTACTCCTCGAGCCATGGGAGGGGATTTGCTTTGGTTGGGGAGATGTCCATTTCTGTTCGGGAGTTTGTTGGGGAGTTCGGGTCTGCCCCGGGGGGGGGGGTGTTGTCTGTGAGTGTCTGTTCGGTTCTGAGGCTCTTGCTTGACCCTTCCTCCGTCCCTCTCCTCTTCTTTCCTCCTCTGTCCTCTTGGCACCCTTTGGAGGGAGGGGAGGCATTCCGTTTGAGAGCGGGGGTGATCTCTGGTTTGGGGTGGCAGTGCTCCAGGATCTGTTTCGCCTCCTGTATCAAGGTGTCGTTGTCCAGGTTGTTTTTCTGACAGTTTTCTGCAGTCTGGATCCTGATTGTCTCCATGTCCCACAGTAAGTCCTCGTGCTTCTTTTCTTCCCTGATTGCTCGCGGGTCGATTATTGGATCTGTGTGGATTTTCCCTGGTATCCCTGTTACTTTCTTTGCTCACACTGCGTGCCATCTGCTGTCGGAGGGCGGGAATACGTCCGGCTGTTTTGTTGCCGGGTTGGAGTTGTACGTCCATATCCATTTCGGATCCTCTATGGTGTCGTCAAACACCCACCCGTTGTAGTCCTGGTCGTTGACAAACCATATACCTTTAGCTTCTTCCACTTCCACCAACATGTTCTGCTTCAGTTTTTTCTCTTTCGAGTGTTCGGGAGATCTCGGGCAGGCTGGGTCAGTGCCCAGGTGGCCCCTCTCTCTGCACCTGAAGCAGATGGGGTTGTCTTTGGTTAAGACTGTGACTAAAGACGCTTCATCCCCAATGCAGAATTCCCATTCCTCCGGGAATTCGGGGTTCGTCTCCGAATTCACTTCCAAGACTGCGGTGATGGAGTCGCAATGTGGGGCCAGGAAATCTGGTGTTGGGAGTACCCATTTCAACACTTTGTTGTTCGGGTATTCCACCTCTAGTCGGTCTTTGATCAGTGGGTGGCCTCTGATGGGGATGTTATCAAACTGGACCCAGAATTGGTTCCTCATCAGTCGCTGTTTTTGTGCTGTTGCCGGTGAAATGGTGGCTTTCTGTGCTGTCTCCTGTTTCCACCGGGACAAGGTGCATACTGACCCGTTGCAGTTCAGGGTGGTGTGTCTGTTGATCAGGTTGGAAGCCTGATCGGAGTCCTTGAAGACCACCATCATCATCTTTTTGCTGAGTACCAAGATTGAAAATTTATCAGTGCTGGATCTGAGATTTTCATGTCCCTGCACTGTCCTTGTGATCCATTTACGTTTCTCGATTTCCGGAAGGCGGGCACCTGTATTGGAGAAAAAGAATACTAGCCCGTGTTTCGCGTACACGGCATTGGTTGAGTCAATTTTTTCCTTCGGATAGCACCAAACTGTGATTTCTTTTTCCTCCCCATTCTGTTGAACCTTCTTCGTCACTTTTTCTCCTTTGATTTGCGGTGATTCCAACAGGAATCGGAGGGTCTCATGGTCGATTAGTGCACCGTTCGGCTGAAGATTTTTGTCTGCATTTTTGAAATTGGCCGCTAAGACCGTGGAGAAGCGGCGTTGGAATGTAACTGCTGCTGATGTGGCCATCTTTGTCTCGGGGGTGGAGGTTCTAACGTATTACGGTGGCTGTGTTTGCTGGTGCATGCTCGCCGAGTTGGAGTTTGATGGCCTCGCTGCGTGGTGGGGTGATGTTTTTTTTTCTTTTTAATTAATTGATTTTTAGATCAACTTGGAATGATATCTTCAACGTGGGGAGTGGGCTTGTTTCGTTAGCTCGCGTGCATAACCTGAATACGTGCAGGGTTTTTTTTTTTTTTT